GCTGTGGCTCTAGGCCTACTTTCCTCCCCTCCAGTGTGTGCAGGGTGCAAAGGAGATCACTGAGGTGGGAAGGGGAGGGTGCCCGGCAGGGGAGAAGGCAGAGACCACAGGAAGGCAGGTACCTGGGGTGTCTCCTCGCACCTGGTGAGCAGAATTCAGCCCACTCCTGGGCTCACTGTCAGCTCCTCCATGTACCATCCTCACCATCTTCCTGGCCAGCCAATCAAAGAAACCGCCATTCCAAGGTCCGCTCCTGTTTGAGGAAGGGTCAAAAGGGGGCGGGAAGCTCCGGTAAATGGAGGGGGGGAGGCTGACAGGCTGCCCAATCATCGCTTCCCCCATGCAAGGTAGGCATATGATATGCGGCCCATGGAGGAGAGAAGGTGATGGAGCTCAGTGGGCGCATGCCCGAGGAGTTGCATAGTGTCAGCAGTGGACTGGTGGAAGCCCAGGCACCAGGACGTGCTTTCTAGCTCCCAGGATTTGTTGTACCCTGATCTAGAGGGTATGCGATCACTTATAAAACAGGGGAAAAGGGTATTTATAATGTTTTCTATATCTATACACAGATGTTTTACCTTTCATTTCTATTTCTAACTGAATGGGTTGTTTTACAAGGTGAGGGTTTACATATACTTTAATAATGGCCGTTGCTGGTCCTCTTAAAGCGGAGCTCCACCCAAAAGGGGAAGTTCCGCTTTAAGCCTTTGTCCCCCGCTCCCCATTAAGGATTGGAATCTTTGGGGACAGGTACCCAAATTTGACAGGTACCCGCTCCCACTTCCGCTGCGATCGCCTAGGCGATGGAAAGCAGAAGTCGTCCTCCCCCCTGTAGTCTTCTGGGACACGTGACAGGTCCCAGAAGACTACAGGGCCATTCACAAAGTGCAGCACTTCTCATGCATGCGCAGTGGGCACCGGGCTGTGAGGCCACAAGCTGTAGTTGGATAATGTGATCAGGTTTCATGTTGCACTTGAAATATGGATGTAACATGAAACATGGTCACAAGAGTGGGCTTAGGCTTTAATTCATGTGGTTTCTTGGAGACATGTAAAAGTTTATTCTAAAGAAAATTGCTGTGTGAAGTGCCATAGCATTCACACAGCCATCACAAGTAATCCCTGTAGTGTGTGTAATATGTTTTGTTTACTGTGATTGTCAGCTCTATCTAGAGGTCATAATGCAGTATTTTCCTGATGGAGGTGTTTCAGGAAAATACTGCGTTATAGCCACCAGAGGGAGCAGATGATCATAGAAAAAACCAGAGACTTATTATGAGGGTTACTTGTGATGCTGTACAAATGCAGAGGTATACATACACCATTTTTATTAATAAACAGATCACTCCGATTTGATATACTTACTGAAAAAAAAGCTAAAAGAATGCTTTTGACTACAGATATATGAAAAGGCCGTCAGCTGTCTTCTTAAGGCTTTTTAACATGAGCTGCATCTCCCTGCATTTTACAACACAAAAAAATGTAGGATAATGCACAGAGCAACACTTTCTTATAGGGCATGCTCTTCATGTTCCTATTTATCTGCTGCACTGAGGAAAAAAAACAACGTGATGCACTGCACGCAGGTCCTATTACAGTCAATTAAATGAAATTATTTTAAAATGTTGCTTTTGAAACCACATGACCACACAATACTGCATGCATCATCACGTGAACACCCTTGATTTACAGCAATAAAGGCTAAAACCTAGGTGCGACCCACAGGAATTATTATCATCATACAGGTGAGACATGACATGGCTGTGATCACTCCTAAGGCAACAGTAAACAATGAGGGAGTTACCAGCATGACAAATATACAGTATATTCTCCTTAGGTGCTCCATGTTTTATGTCAAAGAATAAATAAGAAAGTTCTCTTGTTGTTCTGCTATACCTTCCCTTTCCAAATCATTGCAAAGCACTTTCATTTTTCATAGCAAGCAGCAGAAACAGTTTAAATAAGAAATCCAGGAAGAATAAAAAGTAAACACCAATTAAAACTGACCACTGGGAAAAACTAAACGTCTTCCCTTGCAGTGAGGCTGTGCCTGCACTGCAAGGGTTAAGAGCCCATTTACCCTTCTGTGACTTGGACATCAAAGTCGCATGACAAGTCATACAACATGTTTTCCACTGATAACCATTCAAATATGTGCAACTTAAAGTTGCAGCAACCTCAAAGTAGTTCATGCACTACTTTGGTCCGACTTTCATGCAACTTGAGGGCCATAGACTTCAATGTTATCCCTCAAAAGTTACATGAAAGTCATACTTGAATGTTTTATATGCAACAGTGGGTCCAACTTTGCAGAGGGACAAGCAACATCCAAGTCGCACCCATCAAGTTGTGTCAAAGTTGCAATTCAAAGTCACATGACTTTGGCATCATACAAGTGTGAATGGAGCCTTAAACAAAAAACAGCCGTTAAGAGAGGGATCAGGTACAGCAGTTTTATTTACCCAAAATTCTGCTCCATCAGGCTCCTCCAAGCTTCAACCTGCTCCTCGCACACTCTTTTCCCCTGCACACTGGCAGCCTTAGGTCCTCTGCCATCAAGACTGATGCAGGGTCCATAGCCCTTGATAGGGCATCAAGGGACAATCCACTACTAGAGCATGAAGGAGCGCCATCTGAAAGGAGAGTGGAGGATCAGGTCATGATGCTTTTCTCCTCCCCTTGAACGGAAACAAGCAACTAACCCTTGTAGTGTAGGCACAGCCCCACTGCAAGGAAAGGCTTTTAGGCTAGGTTCACAAATGTGTGGGTGGTACCGCTGTGGATCCGCACGTAAAACCGTGCAACCGCACCACCCGCACAGAGAAATGCAGACCCTGTGCGCGGGTACCATTAGTTCCAATGACACGCCGCCCGCACTGGAAAACGCAAACGTACTGGGAACCGAGGTTCCCGTGCAGACTGTGTTTTGAGAAGAAGTGCAGGGACTTCTTCCCTGCGTGTCACAGGGCAAGGGAGTCCATTCAAATGAATGGGCTCTCGTGCCCACACAAAACGTGGCCCGCACAGCCGCATATTTGAACCGGGGCTGAGTGTTTGAGGAGTTGGGCTTTAATATGCAAGTTATCCTTTTCAGAAAAAATTAAAAGGTGAACTAATACTGCATACCCTCCCCACCCCACAGTCCCTGCTGTACTTACTTCTGTGGGTGATAAGCGGTCAGTGCCTACACAAACGATGTAGAGGTCTGGTGGGGTGTGAAATCCAAGCTCTTCTCCCCCTTCTTCATGTAATGCTTTTGGGACAACATGCAGACAGACGGTACGGGTACAATACAATTCAATACAAGAGGAATCAGAGGGCCCTGCATGGATCAGAGTGATTCTGTTAGATCAGTGCCAGCACATGGGCTACACCGGTTGTGTGGGCACTGACAACTTATCACCACTGCAGGTAAGTAGTACATTGAGGAGCTGGGTGGGGGTGGGCAGGTTGTACAGTATTAGTTCACCTTTTCATTGTTTTATGAACTAACCCTTAAGGCAGTCATTAAAGTGGTAATAAAGTCCCTATCTTAATTTGTACCTACAGGTGAGCTGACAATCAGGCTCGCCTGTAGTACAATGAATATCTCCTAAGGCTTGGTTCCATCTGTGTGTGGGGTGGTGCCGCTGCAAATCCGCGCAAAAATCCATGCAACCACACCACCCGCACAGAGGAATGCGGACCAGCGGGCAGGTGCCATTAGTTCTAATGGCACGCTGCCCACACTGAAAATCGCAACTGAGCTGAACTGAGGTTCCTGTGCGGGCTGCGTTTTTAGAAGCAGTGCAGGGACTTCTTCCCTGCATGTCACGGGGCACAGGAGTCCATTCAAATGAATGGGCTCTCGTGCCCACGCAAAACGCTGCCCGCACGGCAGCATATATGTGAACCGGGGCTAAACGCGTGCCGCTTAGAGATATTCACATCGGCAACAGCTGATGCCATCACCCACGCATGCGAGGTGACGCTCTTCATTCAGGGAACATAGTATGCGTTTGCATGCAGAGCACCATGCTGCTGCCAGGGCTCCCATGTGCATGCGTGGAGTGGCATTAACGGCCTGTGAACCTGGAAAGAAGGCAGGATGAAGATAAAAGCTCTGAGGGAGCCGCGACAGCGCTGCGCTGGATGGTTCTGTGCGCAGGTAAGTCTGCCATAATGTGCTAGCATGCGGTACATTATGGGGTGAACCGGTGGGGACCCCTTTGTTTTTTTTTGGGAGGTTTACGATCGCTTTTAAATGCAACTTGTGTAAAGCACTTGAATCCAGCTTGGTATAGGCCTCTTGCCCTGAAAAGTAGAACTAAGACTTGGAAAGGGAGAGGCAGAGCTAGGAACCAGTCATATCTGATCCCCTGCACATGTGCCTAATGCAGGCCATACAAGGATGGTGCCACCATTGATTTAGAAATTTGACCAACAAATCCTTTAATTTCATCTCATGTTGCTACAGAAAAGAATTTTCGTGGCCAAGAATTTTCTTTTTTTTTTTCCAGGTTGCACCTCATGCTCATTTCTTTTTCAATTACATTTCTCGCACACCTCTCCCATCATTGATTAGAATATCGTTTGTTTTTCAAAAAACTTCAACATGCCCGATCACTCAACTTTGATAGTCGCTCGAAAATCATCCGTTGCTGTGGCCCACTAATGGTGTGAAATTCGAATGAAAATGCTTAGAAACGATTTTCAAAAGAAAATTCTTTCTGGTATAGCCTGCTTAAGGCCTCATTCACATGGGTGCTGGCACAGCACCCATGTGACTGAGTCCTAAAATGACTGCCAGGAGGAGAGAGCAGAATGATGACCCTATCAGTCTTCTGCTGTCCACAGACTGAGGGTGGGGAGGTGATCTAGATTTAGGGTTGCCACCTCATCCCTTTAAAACCGAAAAAATATATTAATTACACAGGTTTTGGGGCTGCTTGAAGTCCCCACCTTTCTATAGCAGAACTACTGCTACAGGGCTGCACAAAATCATGTATATACAGTATAACTGATTTTGCATTTCCAGGTGGGGGGCCATGCCGCACCGCCATTGGTGGCTACAGATGTCGATCACCGGGTCCCAGCCATAGTTTCCCCACCGGCACCCTGGTGATCTCCGAGGAACAGTGACAGGGGAGAGACCTGTGTGTAAACAACACAGGTCTCTCTCCTGCCAGCAGTAACATGCTGCTGTGTACTCCTCTGCAGAGCAGAGAAATACACAGTAGCATGTTTCCCTAGTAAAACACACACAGCACATACAATAAAACACAGCACAGCACACAGTTAACCCTTTGATTGCCCAGAAGTTAACCCCTTCATGCCCAGTGTCAGTGCTTTTTATTAGCACTGATCACTGTATTAGTGTCATTGGGATGCCAGTGGCAGTTAGTCAGTTCCCCCCCAGTGTCAGAATGTCTGCCACAGTTCCCATTATAAGTCGCTGATCGCCGCCATTATTAGTCTAAAAAAAAAAATTCCAACATATTTACCACCTTTTGTAGATGCTATCATTTCACGTACACCAATTAAATTACACATATTGGGATTTTTTTTTTTTAGCAAAGACATGTCGCAGAATACATTTTGGCCTACATTTATGAAGACATTTTACTTTTTTACATTTTCTTACTGGATATGTTTGATAGGAAAAAGTCAAAAATATTGTTTTTCTTTTTCAAAGTTGTCGGTCTTCTTTTGTTTACAGCACAAAAAATAAAAAAACGGAGAGGTGATCAAATATCTCCAAAAGAAAGCTCTATTGGTGGTAAAAAAAAAGGACATAAATTTCATTAGGGTGCAGAGTTGCATGACTGCGCAATTGTCAGTTAAAGTAACGCATCGTATTGCAAAAAATGGCCTGGTCAGGAAGGGGAGGGGAAATCCTCTGAAGGGCAAGAAGATAATATGTGTTCAGGTTTAAAGGGATGAGGTGACAACCCTAGATGCATTGCTCTTGATGTCAGCGTCACATAGATATGCAGTGCCACAGGGGTGGCCTTTAACACTGGGCTGATGCCTAAATGGATCCATTGATCTGTGTTGGGATCACTCAGTGCTTTCAGCGCAGTGACCGAGCTGTCATCATTTACACTGTGATCACTGCGATGGCCAATCACAGGACTAGAAAGCCCACCCATGGCTCTTGAAGGGCTGGCAGCAAGGGGTTAAATGTAGAGAAGACCTGCCTGCTGCAGCCACTGTACAGGGATGACCCCTGCTACAATCCAAGGACTTCCATTGCAAAATACACCTCATGATGTATGAATGACCACACAGCTGCAATGCTCTTCCCAGAGTCCAGCTTCAGGCTGGCACATTGTATTACAGCTGACTCCATGTTCTCCTGAACCACCTCCATTGCCTCACAACAAGGGCTGTCCATTGAAGGAAGCACACTTTCCATTGCTCTTGTCTTGAAGGGGTTAATGGGTGACATCACTGTCCATGCATACAGAACTGGGCACTAGCTGCCCCCATTCACTGACTGAGCCTGTACATGACCCCTCCCCCAATCCTGAGCCCACCACCCCCTGATGGATGACCCCTCCCCCAGTCCTCAGCCCACCACCACCACCCTCCCATGAATGACCCCTCCCCCCAGTCCTCAGCCCACCACCCACCTCCGACTCCGCGGACAGCAGGCACGCATCAGTTCCTCCAGGGCGATCATAAGGCTTCTGTGAAGCGTGTCCTCCTCGGCTGCCGTAGCAGCTAGTCCGTGGGCGAAAGCCCGCCTCCCATTGGTCACGAGAAAATTGGCGCCAAGTTTTCCATCCCCTCACATAGTTTTTGGCTGTGCTCAGAGGCTTGGTGAACTCTGGTCGGCCATGTTACTTGTGGGTAAGATATACCGGCGTAGAGTACTAAGAAAGCGTTTACAAAGAAAAAAAAAATAATGATCTCTATTACTAAGTATAGGCGTTGCGTGCTATGTAGTAAAAATATGACTTGTGTTTTCTACACGTTTGAAACTATCAAGAGTAGTGCTCAACTGGTCCAGGAGTAAAGATGGCGGCAAGGGCCTCCTGAGTAGGATCACTTCCTGGAGCGGCTGCGCGCGGGATTCGAAGGACGGCTGGAGCTATACACTGATCGGCATGTTCTGTGAGAAAGCTATTGAGCTGATCCGGGAGCTGCAGAGAGCTTCAGAGGGACAACTGCCGGCCTTCAACGTGAGTGTGCCTCACCACGTGCTAATGATGGGCCCCTGTACTCGGGGTATACCCGTCACTTCTACAAAACTACCATGACAACCACCCGCAGGGAGCTTCCTTCATCACAGAAGTGAGACCCTTCACTGTATAGGAGATCTGTAGCCACATGTTACACTCATGTTTCCCTCTAAAGAATAATCTGCCTTGGGTTGCTCTTCAGAGGGCACTTGATAGACAGTGAGGAGGTTTATATTGCCGCCTCATCATCTGTTTTTACGGCACGACGTATCTTAAAGCGGAGCTCCACCCAAAAGGGGAAGTTTCGCTTTAAGGACTTCTACCCGTTCCCCATTAAGGATTGGCACCTTTGGGGATCAGGTACCCGCTCTCACTTCCGGTCCGATCGCCTAGGCGACTGGAAGTGGAAGTGGAGGTCGTCCTCCCCCCTTCCTCCCTGTAGTCTTTTGGGACACGTGACAGGTCCCAGAAGACTACAGGAGCATTCATGAACCGCAGTGCTACTTGCACATGCGCAGTAGGTACCCGGCTGTGAAGCTGCAAGCTCTCCTGGCGCCCGCTGTCACTAGCTGAAAATAATGCAGCTGTGCAAGGCTCCGCCCACACGGCCGCATCATTTTATTCACATGACTTGAACTTCGTGTATCATCAGCCTTTGCGGTTGACGGCTTGTAGTACTGAATGGACCGCAGGGGGCGCTGATGAGCGGCCTCGTAGTTCATTCACAAGCCCTGCAGCTTGTATACAGGCAGCCTGAATTGGAGGTTGGGGTTGCAGGGCTTGTCTGCCAGACCCTGGCATTGCACCCCTCATCCACTAATCATGGGTACAAAGCTTTCCAGCCTCCTTAGGGAAAAAAAATAATAAATGCACATTTTTGCAGAAAAAAAATTGCATTTATTTTTTACCAAAAGGTGAACTTATCCTTTAACCAGTTGCCCGCCGCCCTATAGCAGAAATACTGCTACAGGGCTGCGCAAACTCACGTGTATATATACGTAATTTGCATTCCCGGGAAGGGCACGCGTGTGTGCCGCCATTGGCATCTATGGATGTCAATCACTGGGTCCTAGCCAGAGATTCTCCACTGGCATCCAGTGATCGCTGAGTAACACGGACAGGGAAGAAACCTGAGTGTAAACAACGCAGGTCTCTCTCCTGCCAGCAGTAACATGCTGCTGTGTATTTCTTTGCACAGCTGAGAAATACACAGCAGCATGTTTCTCAAGTACAGCACACAGAGACAGCACATGGTGTAAAAACAGCACACGGTTAACCCTTTGATTGCCCTAGATGTTAACCCCTTTCTGCTCAGTGTCATTAGTACAGTGTCAGTGCTTTTTATTAGCACTGATCACTGTATTCGTGTCATTGGGATGTCAGTGGCAGTTAGTTCCCCCCCCCCAGTGTCAGAATGCTCTCTGCAGTCCCGCTGTAAGTCACTGATCGCCGCCATTACTAGTATAAAAAAAAACAAAAATCCCAGTATATATACAGCCATTTGTAGGTGCTATAACTTTCACATAAACCATTTACAGGTATTGGGTTTTTTTTTTTTTAGCAGACGTAGCAGAATATATGTTTGGCCTAAATTTACGAAGAAATTATAATTTTTAAAAAAAGAAATTTTAACGGATATGTTTTAAAGCAAAAAGTCAAAAATATTGTTTTGGTTTTTTTTTTCGAAAGTGTTAGCCTTTTTTGTTTATAGCTCAAAAAATAAAAAACACACAGGTGATCAAATACCACCGAAAAAAGCTCTATTTGTGGGAGGAAAAAAAGACAAATTTAATTTGGGTGCAGCGTTGCATGATCATACAATTGTCAGTTAAAAAAACGCAGAACCGTATCGCAAAAAATGGCCTGGTCAAGAAGGGGGGGGGGGTAAATCCGCAGGAGGGCAAGTAGTTAAAAAAAGTTCCACTGATCCTCCTCCCCGTCCTCTACCTCTATTTTTTTAGGCAGCAGGTGCCTATTTCTGACAGGTACTAACTAGGTGAAAACAGCAGAGCTTTACACCAGGTGTTCACAACCTCCAGGAGACTGTGGGACTATTCAGAAAGCACAACACATCTAATACATGCACGGTGGGGAGTCAGCTGTGAAAGCTACAGCGGGATTCCCACTATCAAGATGGTGGTGCCAGAAACAGGCAAAGAATCAGCCCGAGTGATGACAATGCTTTATCCCAGGGCTGGGGAGTATCTGTTTTATTAAAAGTCAAAAGCTACAGTTTGCTGCTGACTTTTATTTTTTTTTAGAAAGGCTATTTCCTCTTTAATCCTTTAAACCCTGCACCAGCACACTGCAACTTCATGCATTGCGATTGGTTGCAGGACACCCATTCAGTGTAATGAGTCACGTTCAGCAGGCGGTACTACCCACGAAATTCAACAATAGATAATTGTTTCCACGGCATATGTACACCCCCTTTGTAGCTTAAAGTGGTTGTAATATGAACAAATCCTTTCCATCAGTGCCCTGATGATTGGTGCCGATCCCTCCTCTGACAACTGCCAGTTCTCAGCAGTACTTTCCTCACGCTGTCAAAGTGCAGCCGATAACCGGCAATTGCATTTCCCTTTGATCAGCGTGTCATTGGACATGGCTGATCATGTGGTAAAAGGCCGCTGTGTTTGGCTTTTTATCACATCATGTGATCAGCTGTGTCCGTAGGATACAGCGATCACGGAGATCGCCAGGGGGCGTGCAGGAGAGCGAGTTCTGGAAGCCGTCATTTGGCTATCTGTGGTTGGCAAGTGGTTAATTACGTTTGTTAGTCCCTATTTTAAAATAGTAATAACAATGTTTTTACTGATACAATTTGGGTAATCCCTGGTACCAGTAAAGTCCGTCAGTTTATTTGTTTTTTTATACTGTATAATAACCCTCACCTACCTTATCCTGCAAATCTGTACATTAAGCCCCTCACTCCAACCTTTTCATTGTATGTGACCTATACATGTATGTAACTATGTCACCATCTCTGTGTGATCTGTACATTTAAGATGTCTAATGCACCATTACCAAAGCATCATGTTTTAACCCCTTCAAAGCCAGCAAAAAATGAGATCACCGTGGGGGTGTCTGCCTTCTAAAAATTGGTTATTTGGATATTTTCATGCTGTCCTGACCTTTATTTGCTATACTTTAAAACAAAGTAATGGAAGCTTTTTTTTTTTGCAAATTTTCTGATCTTTTCCCTCAAAAATTATATAAAATTATTTGAGATAAAGTAATTGTCATTCAAACTGTCAGAGCACTGAAAAATGGCCTTGTAATGAAGGTGGGTGAAACATGTCGGCACTGAAGTTGTTCTAGTCACAGTGGTGCTTAACTCTCTCAATCAACATTGACCATTTTTAATCTTTTTGCTGCTAGCATTCATAAATAGGAAGGTATATTATATTTACTTGTTTGGATTTCCATGCCTAGGCTAATGATGTCATACAGGAGGGGAGGAGGGGCTTTCTCAGCTAAGCTGCCCATATGCCTGAGCTTACGGTAGATGGATTCCAGGAAGTAAATGCTACATAAATCATGTTCCCTTACTCAAGATGGCCTCAGCCAGAAATGTCAGTGGGTGTTGTTCAAAGTAGTTTCTCAGCAAAATAAAGCATGGAGACATGGATGGATGGGGAAATTTTGCTTTAAACAGTAACAATAAATGAAATCGCGTTTTTGGTTTGTGGTGCCAATGCAGTGTAGTTCTGCTTTAAATTACATGCCAAGGACATTATCTACGGTGTAGAATTTGTTGCTGCTTGTGTCATAAGGGGTTCTGTTTGACAGTGTTATTTAGCGGTGGGAAAATGTAAATGATAAATAGTTACCTTTTGAAATATTAGTGTGTAGCCAGCAAGCTGATATATTCTTACTACACTAATAAGTACCTACACTGCCTTGAAAAAGTATTCTCACCCCTTGCATTTTTCCACATTTTGTCATGTTACAGCCAAAAGCATAAATGTATTTTATTGGGATTTTGTGTGATAGACCAACACCATGGCATGTAATTGTGAAGTGGATGGAAAATGATAAATGGTTTTCAGAATGTTTACAAATATCTGAAAAGTGTGGCATGCATTTGTGTTCAGCTCCCTCTACTCTTATACCCCTAACTAAAATCTAGTGGAACCAATTGCCTTCAGAAGTCGCCTAATTAGTAAATGGAGCCCTTCTGTGTGTGATTTAACCACCACCTGCCCTCCAGAGGATTTACCCCCCTTCCTGACCAGGTCATTTTTTGCGTTACGGCACTGCGTTTACTTTAACTGACAATTGCGCGCTCATGTAACGCTGCTGCACCCATTTGGAATTTACGTCTCCCCCCCCCCCCCCTACAAATAGAGCTTCTTTTGGTGGTATTTGATTGCCTATGTGGTTTTTATTTTTTGCGCTATAATAAAAAAAAAAAAAGACAATTTTGAGGAAATAAACCCAATATATTTTTTTACTTTTTGCTATTAAACATGTCCAGAAAAAAAAATAAAATTTCGTCATAAATTTAGGCCAAAATGCATTCTGCTGCATGCCTTTGTTGAAAAAAATCCCAATACATAATTGGTTTACGTGAAAGTTATAGCGTTTTACAAATGGTATATGTACTGAGGAGATATATATATATATATATATATATATATATATATATAATATATATATATATATATAATTTTTTTTTTTTTTTATACTAGATCAGCGACTTATAGCGAGACCTCAGGCATTCTGACACTGGGGGGAACTGACTCGGTGTCACTGACATCCCCATTGACACCAATACAGTGATCACTGCTAAAAAGAAGCACTTGCACACTACTAATGGCACTGGGCAGGAAGGGGTTAACATGAGGAACGATCAAAGGGTTAACTGTGTACTGTTTTACTTGTCTGTGTCCATGTTCTTCACTGTAAGCACACTGCTTTGCATGGCTGTGCTGTGCACAGCCATCCAAGGCGGTGTGCACAAGCTGACAGGGAAGAGACTGTTTTGGAATGGTTTAGATCAAAGCACATTCATGTGTTCGAATGACTCAGCCAAAGTCCAGACCTAAATCCAATTGAGAATCTGTGTCAAGACTTGAAAATTGCTGTTCACAGACGCTCTCCATCCAGTCTGACAGAGCTTGAGCTATTTTGCAAAGACGAATGGGAAAAAAGTTCACTCTCCCAGATGTGCAAAGCTGGTAAAGACATCCCCAAAAAGACTTGCAGCTGTAATTGCAGCAAAAAAAAAAAAATGTTGAAAACCATTTATCATTTTCCTTCCACTTCACAATTATGTGCTACTTTGGGGTCAATTCACTAAGAGTTAAAGAACGACTGAAAAAAAGGTGGTAAAATAATGCGTGCAGTAAAATGTTTTTGCAACTGCGCAATTCACTCAGAATTTTGCTGTAAATGACTTGCTGATTAAGGAAGCCAGACACGGTGTCCTTAACAGTGGATAACTCTACAGCTGGTGTCCCACTGACAGCTGAATGAAAACATGCCAGCAATTACAAATTATGAAAAAAAAATTGTGGGGCTCCTCCCCCCCCCCCCCCCCCCATTCATACTAGGCCCTTTAGGTCTATGGATTTTAAGGAAAACCCCACACCAGAATTAAAAAAAAAAAAAAAAAATCCAGTGCTGGTACCCTCACAATCCTAAGGGATTTAGGGTCTGGGGGGGACCACATGCCATTTAAAAAAAAAAAAATGGCATAGGGTTCCCCTTAATATCCATACCAGACCCCTAGGGGTTGGGGGTGATAAATGTGACACCACCAGCAAAACCCTGGGGATAAATATCGCATTTTTTAAAATTTGTTTTGTTTGTGAATTGGACTGTACAGCTTACTGCATTTTTTTTTTTTTTTCTTTTTTGTGGTATTTGCCGACACATATTTAAGTTTGCGTCAAACAATGCAGAATCTTTTTTTTTTTCTGTTTCTGTGAATTGGACATTTTGTTACCGCAGGTGATAATTTATGCAAATGAGTCATGTGACAGTGTTATCACATGCGGTATCCTTTAGTGAATTGACCCATTTGTATTGGTCTATCACATAAAATCCCAACAAAATACATTTAAGTTTTTGGTTGTAACATGACAAAATGTGGAAAATTTTCAAGGGGTATGAATACTTCAAGGCACTGTATGGTGGTAATCAGGTGTGTGTTCAGTATTTGTATGGTTCGCGACATACTGTTTTTGTATCTTGCAGGAAGATGGAATCAGGCAGGTACTTGAAGAGATGAAAGCTTTGTATGAACAGAATCAATCAGATGTGTAAGTACATAAACATAAATGATTGAAAATCCTAGATACATGAAAAGCAGTCATGTAATGCAGGGCTTGACAAATCCCAGGTGCCAGGACACCATAGCGACCAAAAATTGCATCCTGACACCAGGGTTCGCACACTGCCTCCCATTGACTTCAATGGAACTTGCACCCCAGTAGACTCCGCCGGGGAACTTGCACCCCAGTAGACTCCCAATGGGGCAGAGCAGTAATACAAAGCAGAGCAACATAGTAAAACACACACAGCACACTGTTAATCTTTTAACCCCTTCCTGCCCAGTGCCATTAGTACAGTGTCAGTGGTTTTTATTACCACTTATCACTGTATTAGTGTCATTTGAATGTGAGTGACACCCCCCCCCCCCCCCCCCCCCCCCCCCCCACCCCCCTCCCCCCCCCCCCCCCCCCCCCCCCCCCCCCCCCCCCCCCCCCCCCCCCCAGTGTCAGGCAGTCCCTTCTATAAGTCGCTGATTGCCGCCATTACTAGTAAAAAAATACAAATTCAAGTATATATACCGCGGTTTGTAGACACTATAACTTCCATCTAAACCAATTAATTTGCACATATTGGGATTTTTTTTCTTTTCAGTGAAGACGTAACAGAATACATTTTGGTCTAAATTTATGACAAACTTTTATTTTTATTTTCTACTGGCGATGTTTTATAGCAAAAAGTCAAATATTGTAAATTCACGTACAACGTTGCATGACTGCGCAGTTACATTGCCGTTAAATTAACGCAGCACCGTATCGCAAAAAATGGCCTGGTCAGTAAATCCTCTGGAGGGCAAGTGGTTAAGCAAGGCGGTTAAGACTAGCCTGGCATGTGAAAAGGAGACTTCAAGGGTTAGTTCATCTTTACAATACAATTGCCTGTACATTCAAGCATCCCCCAGTACACTAAAATACACTGTCCAGGTTTTTAATAGGAAGCTGCTTTTCAGTGTCATTCCTGTAGACAGTGTGATTGGTGTTCCCCGACCTGTGTGGTTTTTTTTTTTCTTCGTTTTTTTCATTGCCCCTGCACAAGTCTGAAACGGAAAGCCGAAGCTAAATTGCAGACTTGTCTTGGGGCCGTAGTTCATAAGGTAGAAAGCCTAAGAATCTGAGTATGAGAACCAGGGGACTAGTAAGTGATAAGACAGTGTACTGTCTGCAGTTTATTGTGACAAGCTATTTTAACTGTTTAATTTTAAAACTTCTAAAACCGATGCACAGAACATGCGTGGTGTTGATGGATGAAATCTATATTATAAGTTAATGTGTTTTCCAACCTAGTAATGAAGCAAAAACAGAAGGTCGAAGCGAATTAATTCCAACCATTAAGTTCAGACACTGCTGCCTACTACGAAACCGACGCTGCATTGTTGCTTATCTGTAAGTTACATTCAGAATTTTTTTATTATTTTGAAATTGACACTAGAAAGGATGGGAAGGCCATTAAGCTTTGCCATACACATCTTGAATTCTGACCAGTTCATCAGCACCACACAACTCAACAAAATTCAGATGAAAAACCAAAGAAGGTGGGTGGAAAATTATCGGCCTAATTGTGACTATATCCTGATGGATGCAGTTGATGTTTGCATTTTCAGGCAGCTGTGGATATGATAGCTGGCAGCAGAAATTCCTTCATCCACTCTGGTTTGGATGGAGAAACGGGTGTGTATGGCTAGCCTAAGTCAAGATATACATCACCATTACACATACATTGCTCATGTACACTACTTTCTCTTATTGTAAGTTGCAACAGAAGCTACCCTTTAAAATGTACACATCACATTTATTTAGTGTATATATAACTAACAATATGACTGAAGAGAAGAAAACCGTCTCCTGTGCACATGTGGATCAGTGGGGGTTGATTCTTTTTTTTTTTTTTTTTTTTACCCTTTTTCATGGGTCAACCCCACTCCTGACAATCAGAAACACAATACCAAAGCCTCAATGGACAAAAAGAGAGGTTGTGGTATCAAACTGGTATTTGCTTGGTTTTAGCACGGGGCACGTGACTGATTTACAGCTGAAATCAAGGTTGCCATTGACGGTATGATCAGGATGGGGGTAGGGTCTACTGCAGGTGTACCAGAAGTAATTTTAAAGGAATCTTCAGACCTTCTCTTTAGAAATGTTTTCTACTGTCTTTTAATATAATAGTACTATCTTTCTATTTTTTCTGTTCAGCCTGTTTTTTTTTTGTTTTTTTTGTTTTAGCCTCCTGAAGTTCCTGCAATGCAGGAAGAGGCAACATCATAGGCTAGTCAAGCTCTCTTGCTCTCCTGCATTGTATAGTACAAAAGGAGAAAGCGTAATGATAACCTCATTAGTGTCCCAGCTCCTCCTATATCCAGTCACAATTTGGGGTGATCCTTTGCCAAGCTGTATTACTTTAACTAACATGGAGAAAGGAAAGCTCAGATCCTGGCAGCTCATGATACAGGAATGTCTTGATCTGAAAGCTTAGCTGATCAACACTGCACTTTTATTTTTTTTGGCCTGTAAGACACTTCAGAGTTGCATATTACAGCTGTATGTTTGCCTTCTCTGCATGTTGTGATAACATGATGCATTGTGGTTCCATTCAGTACAGCAGTGAGCAAAATGCATCAGCACTGCAGTGCACCAGAACATGTGTGCTGAATCGAGCAAAATGAGTCATGTGCATTTTTTGTCTGTATTGTGTTATGGCAGCCCATGCTGCATTAAGTAACCAATCACACCAGAACGCGGTGTGGGAAACCTGCTTTCCATACATGTTTCTCGCACTGTGTTCAGAATACACTGCAGTTCTTTTTGCAGAGGGTGTCAATTTCAATCGCTTCCCAACTGCCCTATAGCAGAAATACTGCTACAGGTTAGCACGGGTATGCAAAATTGTGTATATATGCATGATTTTGCATTGCCAGGTAGGGGGCCTGCAAGCGCCCTACCCGCACCGCCATTTGCTTCTGTTAATCACCGGGTCCTGGCCGGTGATTACTTGCCAGCGCCCAGTGATTGCCGAGGACCTCCGATGGGAAGGAGAACTGTTTTGTTTACTAACCGTTTTCCTCCCTGTCAGCACAGCCATCCAAAGCAGTGTGCTTACAGTGAAGCACACAGACACCACCCCATAGTAAAAGACACCCAGCTTTTTTTTTTTTTTTTTTTTTTTTTTTTTAGCACTGATCTATGTATAGGTGTCACTGGGGATGTCGGTGACACCAAGTAAGTCCCCCCCCCTCCAGTGTCAGTGTCCGCCGCGGTCCTGCTGGTCACTGATCGCCACCATTATTAGTAAAAAAAAAAAAATAATCCCAGTGTATATATACTGCAATTTGTAAACGCTATAACTTTCACGTAAACCAATTAATTTACACATATTGGGATTTTTTTTTTCTAGCAGAGACATGTAGCAGAATACATTTTGGCCTAAATTTATGAATAAATTAGATTTTTTTTTTTTTTTTTTTCAACCAGACATTTTTATAGCAAAAAGTCAAAAATATTGTTTTTTCTCAAATTGTCAGTGCTTTTTTTTTTTATAACGCAAAAAATGCACAGGCGATCTAATACCACCAAAAGAAAGCTCAATTCATGGGGGAAAAAAGTACGTACATTTCATTTGGGTGCAGCGTTACAATTGTCCGTTAAAGTAACGAGCTGTAAAGCAAAAAATGGCCTGGTCAAGAAAGGGAGTAAATCCTCAGGAGGGCAAGTGGTTAATGACACCCAAAACACAGATTACAAATGCAGTGCGTTTGCCTGCACCAAATAGAATGGTATAGATGTACCATGCAATCCATTTGCAGCCTGTTTATTGGTGCGGTCCAGTGCAATTCAGCCCTTTAAAAATGAATGGGCTCAAATCGCACCGCACTTCACTACATGTGAATCAGCACTTCTGGTGTGAACTGGCTCTAAATGCAATACATTATGCAACGCATTAGCACATTGCAATGCAAAGGTGTGAATGAGTCCGTCCTCATCCCCAGGGAACAGTTCAACCCTTTTTATGTACAGACATAGACTGGTATTGATTTTCCCACAGCTTATCAACTGTCAGAGGGAAGCTGAGGTTGTTTGAAGTCTCATCCTTTATACAAGAACAGTCATGCAGACACAGAGCAGTTTTTAATCCTTTTATTGCTTTAGCTGTAAGTATTACAGTGCAGCAGTAACGTGATGTAAACAAGGTCACGGGTGCAACATTCGCCGTGAGCTTGCTTCTGCTATGGAGAACATTAAGCCTAGTAAATACGATCGAAAGCGGTATTTTTCGTACGATTTTCTGCAGAGATCGTACTATAATCTGATCGTACACAGCTTTCGTCTGAAATTATTCGAAGGGACAAGCATGAATACAATTTTGTTTAGTCAGTACAGTTTTCATTAGAAAATACAATACAAATACATTTCCTCACTTCCAAATTGCTATTCTGTTGTACGAGAATTTTCGTAACTGGCTAATATGGACTAAAACTGACAAAAAAAACTGGATCATTTGTACTTTAGAAGGAGATGAAAGAGCGCACAAACCTTGCGCATTACCTCAATAAATAGTAACAAATTTTATTTAGGAAATATACTCACAAAAGTGACGGTAAAACAGGCATAAGTAAACAATAATCCACACAGGGTTACAGGTAAATCCAAAGGGGGGGAATACAAGCTAACACGTTTCGAAGGGTGCTCCCTTCTTCATCAGAGCTGGGTTTGGCAGATAGAAACTTCAGCATAGCAGAGTTCCCATGGCAAGGAGACATTCAGCAACTGAGTGTCAGTATTACAGCATTTCAGCCTGTTTCCTAAATAAAATAAAATTAGTCACTATTTATTGAGGTAATGCGCAAGGTTTGTGCGCTCTTTCTTTCATCTCCTTCTACAGTTTTGTCAAGCTTCCCCAGCTTCATGATGGAGCTGCACAGCCTCTGATCACCAGCGGATGAACACACTGTTTGTTACTAACGCCCGTTTGATCTGAGTCTTTGAGAGTGCAGGATATAATGGATCTTTGTTGACTGTTCATTTGTACTATGTTCTCATTATGTGTATGGGGCTTTACACACTTGGGCTTGTGAAACAGTTCACATACATGTATTACAGTTTCATTTGAAAGTAGTGTAAATACCGCGGTCTCTCTAACCAAATAGTGTTTTTCTTTCTTTGTGTTAAATTAGGGTATTTAAATATACTAAAACACAGATGCAGCTTATAATGTGGTAACCTAAAAAAGATTTATTTGGGAGGAGTGATGCAGTCCCCCCCCCCCCCCCCCCCATAACCTATGTATCATTCAGCTGTGTGGTTTCCAATTTTCAGCTATGACCGCCTGCTTCGGATCCGAGCTCTTCGTTGGGAGTATGGCAGCGTGCTACCAAATGCTCTCAGGTTCCAAATGTCAGCAGAAGAGGTTTGTTACATTTTTTAAATATATTAAAATTTTTCAGATCTACTGTTGTTTGAATGTGCATATCTTGAGAACACATACTCGATCGATCAACTTGGGTACAACCAGCCAGTTTGATTTTGCACGTGTTTATTGCTAGCAGCTTTATAGCAGCTAAAAGTAATCACTGTGTTTTCCCAGCAGAGATGGCTCCCCCCCTGCCTTGGAGAATACAATAGCTCCGTGGGAGGGATTTCCCCATCAACACTGACTGACAGTGTTGATTTGGGAATCAAGCGATTTTTCTTTCCTGCAATCTGTGGAAAAGCTGTTGTGGAAATGTAATAACCAATGTGTATATTGGGTGAGAATAGGATTTAAGTATGTTGTATGAGTAGCCAGCTTTGCTCTACAAAAGCATTTTAGTGGGTTGTGTTGACCATAGCTATAATGTAACCTGAGACTACTTTACATTCAGAATTCTGGAAGAATCAGAATCAAGGGTGTAAACAGACTTAAGGTATTACTTTCACTGTGTGCCGACCAACAGCTGCAGGGGAAGCAGAGAGCATAGGTCCAAGGTGGCCGCTCTTCCGGGATCACTCGCGGAACGCATTGGCCACAAGTGACGTCAGGAGGGGGTGGTGAAGTGGAAAGCTCCTTCATCAAGACCTGGATATTCTGCTCTATATAGTAGGAAAGTGCGGGGTGGGAGGAGGTCACTGGGCGGGGGCTCCGCTACCGCTCTGTAACAAGGGAAGGGTGGGAGGAAGTGGACGCCAGGAAGTGGCTCCGCTCGCATTCTATAATTGAAGGGAGGGGGCTATAATTCTGTGACGAGGGGGTGGCTCCGCTTGCATTCTCTTAACGGGTGGGAGATGGCGGAAACCAGGAGGGATGGAGTTGGAGGAGGTGGAACTCAGGAGAAGGCTAATTTATAATTTATTGGGACAAAAGTAAAATGAGCATATGAAAAATATTGTACTATCATCAATCGAGGTGGGGAAGCGGAGGACTGACAATGACAGGAATCCTGTCCGAGTTCGCTATGATACTACATAATAGCGAGCTATAGTAAACAAGATTATATGAATGGCATTGACATGTACTAATGTAGTTCTGATACATAATTGTGACTTGTAGTACACAGTTATGCGAATGACACGAATACTTATTGTAATAAAGCCAATGAAAAGCACAGTGATGCATCCACTTTGTCTAATCCAGCATTCATGGGATGAAGCAGGTGCATAATTGTGTAGAATGTAAACCAAAATGTTGGACGTTTTTTGTTCCAGTTGCTTAATTATAACAGATTCTGATGTTGCCATTGGCATCCAGACTTTTTTTTATTTTATAACCACTTTACACTTTTACCCCCTTCCTGTCCAGGCCAATTTTCAGCTTTCAGTGCTATCACACTTTGAATGGCAATTGCGCTGTCATGCAACACTGTACCCATATGAATTTTTTAGCTTTTTTTTGAGACAGATAAAGCTTTATTTTGGTGGTATTTATTCACAACTGGGATTTTTATTTTTTTTTATAAATGAAAAAGTCCAAAAATTTTGAAAAAAAGTGTTTTTCTTCTAAACTATTGCAAATAATCTTTCTTCATAAATCTTGGCCAAAATTTATTCAGCTATCTTTTTAGTAAAAAAAAAATAACCCTAATTAGTTTATAACCAAAAATTATAATTTTAAAAAAATTTTTTTACATTTTTATTTTTTTTTATATTTGTTTTTTTTTTATTTTTTTACATACTGTCACCCTAGCACTACAGTGTCACCATGGTGACACTGTACTACTTGTGGGGGGTGATAAAGATATTTTTTTTTTTTTTTTTTTTTTTACGCTGATTGCTTTTACACCCATAAAGGCTGTAAAAGCAATCATTTCTCCTTCTCTCTGGCTGCATTCTTGCAGCCATTGAGAAATACTGTGTGAGCTGTGATTGGTCAAAGCTTGTCACATTGTACAAGGCTGTTGTGAATAGCCTTGTACCATGTGACCTCTGTGATCATTCACCGATTTCACACGTAGTAAGCAATGATGTCACAAGTGACATCTTGCTTACTACTCTGCATGTGATCACTGATTGACCAATCAGTGATCACATTATCGGGACCTCTCAAAGAGGTCCCGTCCGACGATCGGTGTTCCACTGTGTCCGGAGGACACAGCAGGCACTGGATCGCAGTGCTGCATGCTCCCAGGGAGCGCGCACAAGCAGGAAGTGAGGAGGCCGTTTATAAACGGCCACCCACTCCTGCACTGCCACCATCTGGCCGTTTATATACAATGGCCGGACGGGAGGTGGTTAAATTAAACCTGAAAAAACAGCAACATCAGCAGTCCTGCTTTTGGGCCCTCTGATAAACATTGCACTGTGTAAACTGATCTGAGGGAGCTAAATGAATTGGTGTGTTGTGGTTCCTTACAGGAAACTGTCCTCTGCATATTGAATATAAAACTCTTGTTCTCTCCCTCCTGCATAGACTGACTGGTTTAATCAGTACAAGAAATCTCTGGCAACCTATATGAGGTCTCTGGGAGGTGAAGAAGGTCTGGACATAACGCAGGATATGAAGCCTCCTAAAAGCCTATACATAGAGGTACATAGATAAAATCCATGTAAGAAACAATAGAGAAAACCAATTCCCTTAACTATAGTTTATATGCATGGTTTGGCAAATATTCTTATACAGCGGGGGTGCTCAACCTTTTGAAGAGCGAGGGCCAGTTAGGTGATTTGGTAACTGTTCGCCAGCCATATTGAAATGAAGTGGTTCAGAATTTTACATGTTTTTTATTTGAATAGCATGGAGAAGATCCCTTTCTGTATAAGCCGCCCATCCTGTCAAAGTGTAAAACAGAATGTGACAGGTAGGCTGCTGCTTCGTCCACTGCCTGTGCTGCCTCGATGCATTCTGATGCTCTGGGATGGCGGGTCAGCAAGTCCAGATCGCAATCAACAGGTTGCCGCCCTCAGGCGTGTGCTTTCCTGGTTTAAGGTCCTGGGCCACATCAGATGGCTCCATGGGTTGAGCACCCCTGTTTTACAGGCTTTATATAGCACCAAGTTTGTGCAGGGCTTTACAATATAAAGGGAGACAATACAGTTACCATACAATTTGATTCAATTAGGTTGCTTTTGAGAGTTTAAATCCTAAAGGAGGGGCAAGTGGTGCAAAAGGTAATGACTATTAGTAATGAGTGGCTGGAGAAAGTAGATGTACAGTTTTTAGATGACAGCTGGAGTTGTAAGAAAATGTGTCCTTAGTAATTGGGAGACAATTGAATAAGCCTTTTTTCCCCATCTGACTAATTTAGGCTGTTTAAGTCCTATAAACATAGAGTTGCTAGTACTTTGCCTGATGAAAGCGGTTTCCAATTTGGCAATATGCACAATACCATGCAATATCTAGGTGTTCTAGTAAAATACAAGTCTTGTCTCACGCTATTAGATGGGTGCAGGCTGTCAAGTGTATAATCCAGACAGTACTGGAGCATATAGAGACAGGTGGATGCTGTCAGTGGCCTCAGATGTAAAAGGCCTCAGCCTGTAACTCCTAAACTACGCCACTGAAGTGTTTAGCCCCGCCCATTGGGGGGGCTATGACCTCAACGATTCACCTTCCCTCAGTGGGCATGGCAAAACATCAGGGGCATGGCTTAGGAGTTAAATGCTGATTAAGTTTACATCTCATTACTATTTGAGCTGGTGTCGGCTTCCAGTTTGGCAATGCTGAGGCTAATCACAGGATAAAGGTGGGCCTCTATATCTATATGGACACGCTATGCTTTTCTTGTGTAAGGTTCACTGATTAGCGCATTATTTGAGTCAGAAATACATTTAGACTTGCTAACAATGATTCAGCTCATAGTACAATCTACTGTTTGTTGCGCATTAGAACATTATTTCTATTAATCAGCTTAATTGTTAAGACTGGTTTCTGTGTAATTTGTCTTGTCTCGTCTCCTAGGTGCGCTGCTTAAGAGATTACGGTGAATTTGAAATTGAAGATGGCACAACAATTTTGCTGAAGAAAAATAGCCAGGTAGGATTCGTTTGAAAAGTTTGATAACGTTTAAAATATTGCTTCACGTTTAGGCATTTTTACACATTTCAGAAAGAGTGGTGATGGGTTAGAACCCCTGTTCAGGTTTTCATTGCTGTCTTTGTCCCTCTTAGGGAGATTTACTCTGAAATTGTCCTGATCACCAATGTCACTGGGAGTGAAATCCAAAACTGAGTTACCACCAAAACAGGAATGTAGGGAAAAATCTTTCAACATGACACATGTTCCTGTGACAGCTGTCAGATAACGGATTTCCCATTTATTGATTTATTTCCCATTTAAAAGATCCTCTTGCTTTCCATTAAATCTAAAGGATGGGGAGTGAATAGAAATCTCCCTGAGACACAGATGGGAAGAAAAATAATTTATAATGAAAAAACAAATATTTGCACATTTTGCATTTTAAATTGTGCCTTTTTGTGAAGCAGTGGCAATTAAAAGTGTGAAAAATTGTATATAAGCAACATGAGCTCAAAATCTTGAGGATGGCTTTGCGCCAAGATAGTGTGGTAACACCAGTTTACAATGCTGTGTGTGTGTTATGTTAAAATGATGTCGGCATACATTTTACCATGATGCAGTGCATACCAACATCTCAATATGCTGCCACACATGTAATGTAAAATTGAAAAAAGTAAGCACTTCGGTGTTGTAACAACTGCAAGTGTACAGCACTCATGTTTTGCGTTGCTGCTGGTGTGAATGGATTGCAGTGTACCAATACACGTAACATGCATTACCACAATGTGTATGCATGTAATTGTGGGGGGGTCTGTGTTTTTGGTTTTATTTACTTTTTTAAACAGTATTGTCAGTGGGCTTTGGAAAAATATTTGTTTTTCAAAGAGCTTGAGTCCTCCATCTTTCTCCTCCATAACCCTGCACTGCTGAGTACTCTTGTGTGTTCATTCACAAATAAAAGAGATGATAAACATGTTTTTCAGCTTTTCTGCCACTTCACTACTGATCACTCTGGTGTTCATTCAGGAAACCGAAGGATTGCTAAAGATAGTTTTATGAATGGCTGTGAGCATTCAGTGTGTCAGCTGCTGGTCACAGCTATTCAAGTTTGGGGGACCCTTCTGCCATAAGTTCATAGTTGCTGAAGTGATCATAAACTTTTATAGCAGAAGGGAATGCAGTTGACTTGGCCAGTGAAAGGATTAAAGAGCAGGCTTATGCATATAGGCATCACCATCAAAGGCATGTTACGTTTGATTAGAGGCTGTGAGAGATTTCTTAGATCTAACACTTGGAGACACCAAGCTTTATATACACTAAAAAAAAAAGTGTTCCTTTAAACTGACTTGATGCTATACTCTAATTGCTCAAAAAAATTAAACTCCTGGGATATTGATCTGGTCAGTTAAGGAACAACCCCCTCTGCTAATCAGTTTCAGCTGCTTTGGTGTTAATGAAATTAACAGGTGCACTAGATGAGCAACAATGAGACAACCCCCAAAACAGGAATGGTTTTACAGGTGGAGGCCACTGACCTTTTTTATCCTACTCATCTTTTCTGACTGTTTTTCACTAGTTTTGCATTTGGTCTAGGGTCAGTGTCACTACTGGTAGCATGAGGCAATACCTGGACCCTACAGAGGTTACACAGGCAGTCCAACTCCTTCAGGATGGCACACCAAACGCGCCATTGCCAGAAGGTTTGCTGTGTCTCCCAGCACAGTCTCAAGAGCATGGAGGAGATTCTAGGAGACAGGCAGTTACTCTAGGAGAGCTGGATAGGGCCGTAGAAGGTTCTTAAACCATCAGCAGGACCGGTATCTGCTCCTTTGTGCAAGGAGGAACCAGGATGAGCACTGCCAGAGCCCTACAAAATGACCTCCAGCAGGCCACTGGTGTGAATGTCTCTGACCAAACAATCAGAAACAGACTTCATGAGGGGGGCCTGAGGGCTGAACATCCTCTAGTGGGCCCTGTGCTCACTACATGGCACCATAGAGCTCAACTGGCATTTGCCATTGAACACCAGAATTGGCAGGTCCACCGCTGGCATCCTGTGCTTTTTACAGATGAGAGCAGGTTCACCCTGAGCACATGTGACAGATGTGAAAGGGTCTAGAGAAGCCGTGGAGAACGTTATGCTGCCTGTAACATCATTCAGCATGACCATGTTGTTGGTGGGTCAGTGATGGTCCGGGGAGGCATATCCATGGAGGGACGCAGACCTCTACAGGCTAGACAATGGCACCCTGACTGCCATTAGGTATCGGGATGAAATCCTTGGACCCATTGTCAGACCCTACGCTGGTGCAGTGGGTCCTGGGTTCCTCCTGGTGCACGACAATGCCCGGCCTCATGTAGTGAGAGTATGCAGGGAGTTCATGGAGGATGAAGGAATTGATACCATTGAATGGCCCCCATTCTCCCCTGACCTAAATCCAATAGAACACCTCTGGAATATCATGTTTTGGTCCATCTGATGCCGCCAGGTTGCTGCTCAGACTGGCCGGGAGCTCAGTGATGCCTTGGTCCAGATCTGGGAGGAAATACCCCAGGACACCATCCGTCGTCTCATTAGGAGCATGCCCCGACGTTGTCAGGCATGCATACAAGCACGTGGAGGCCATACAAACCACTGAGTAACGTTTTAAGTTGCTGCAATGAAATTCCAGAAAATGGACTGCCTGCTTTTTAATTGATAATTTAATAATTTCCATCAAACAACGGGATATCCTTGCGTTCCTAACACATTACCCAGTCCATATCAGTATAGGTATCCAGCATGATAATTTTCCCCTTAAGATCTGATGTGTTATCAAAGTGTTCCATTAATGTTTTTTGGAGCAGTGTATGAAAGACCAGAAGGAGCCTGCAGGGGCGGTTTGAGTCCTGTCTCCTGCAAACACAAGTGAGCAAAAGGGGTTCTGAGATCACTTCCAAAAGGAAGTAGATGAATATATTATAGAAATGCCTAAATAACTGCCCAGAGCAAGTAGTCTGTTATTTTATGCCTTCCGTGAGATGATTGCTGTAAATCTGTGTGAGGGGTGAAGTTGGGGTTTTTTTTTTCTTTTTACATAGTGCAGTGTAACCAATAAGGCTGCTGTAGATCCTGATTTCCTCAGAGCTTCCATTTAGTGGTGGCAAAGAGCAGCCTCTTCATCAATAGAGTGAAATATAAAAGGATGATATCGGTTGTGTGGGAGAAAAGTAAGGTACTGAAAATGTTTGCAGGAAATGTGATGGCTAAACAGTGAAAGTATTGTCCTGGTCTGTAGGGTGGTATATTTTTGTTTTAATCACTCTGCAATAATGTGAACATACAATACATATCGCCTGTATCTGGTATGTTTTGTAACCATTCAGTTGAGCACATTTTCCTATACAGTATGTTGCATACCTGTGTTAGTTGCTGGTTCTTGATAATGGCATTCAGTGGTTCTTTTCTTTTTTTTTTCCTCCTCAGCATTTTCTACCAAGATGGAAATGTGAGCATCTGATCCGACAAGGCATTCTAGAGCATGTGTTGTCTTAGAAATCTGTGGATTTGTTCTAATAATTAGGCATGTATTATATTTTTGTAAATACGGATTTGTACTTTATTAAAAATCAATTGGGGATTTGTGTTTTTTTTTTTTTCTTTAAAAGTTAGCTTTCCTAAAAAACTATTCAAACTTGTTTTATACCGAAAAAAAAAAAAAAAAAAAAATATATATATATATAGTTCCCCTTGCCTGAAATTTTGCAGTGTTACATACTGATGACGTTTGCGGATAGCATTTCACTCCAGAATGAACTACGTGCTAGTGTAAATTGGATTGTACTCTTCCACTTTTGTGACAATGTGAAGTCAGCTTGATCAATATTAAAAATGTCAGTTAAAGCTGAATGCCAGCCTGTCCTTCAGGCTCCACTCCTGTACTTAATGTTTTCACTGCAAACTGTGAGCTTCTCCTAGTGTACATTAGGAGCTTCAGCAAGTTCATTTTCCCAGATGATATCAAGCATCACTTTTTTTTTTTTTTTTCCCCAAGTGCACTACCTAAGGCAGTCTGCCTAGGAACTCACAGTTCTCCAGACAGATATGTATTTGTCAAGGCATTTTCTTTTAATTATATATTATATATATATATTATATATATTTCACACGGAAGCAGAGGATTGGGAGATCTACATAATGTAAAACACTGAAATCTCATGCATCTGCTTTTAAACGATGTTCTCATAGTAATATAGTCTGTTATTTGCGAGAACATGAAATGAAGTATTTGGTGCATGCAGCACACTTCCAAGGAAGGCATCTTTAGCATTTGAAGAAAGTAATCAGGATATTTAATCCCCTTGTGATCCAAAAATGGCCAATAAAGTATAGTCCTTCATCCCCCATGAAAAATGTTGGAGGGTAGTCCTGGCTCGAAGGAGGGGTTATTAAAGACAAGGGCTACCAGTATGTGATTGGACTTAAAGTGGAACTTTAGTCAGAAATTTAAGATGTGCTAGAGGACTTCATTTTTGCCCCTTTTTGCAGGTATAGCTATGTAAAACATTAAAAAAAAAAAAAGTCTAACCACTTGCCTACTGGACACTTTTACCCCCTTTGTACCCAGGTGAATTTTCAGCTTTCAGTGCTGTTGCACTTTGACAATTGCGCAGTTATGCAACACTGTACCCAAATGAAATTTTTTTTCACACAAATAGCTTTCTTTTGGTGGTATTTATTTGCCACTGGGTGTCTTATTTTTTTTGCACTATAAACAAAAAAAGAGTTTCTTTTGTTTCGATAGAAAAAAAATTACCGGTTTGCAAAATTTTATATTCACTGATTGTGCATTGATGAGGCGGCACTGATGCTGCAGCAATGATGGGCGGCACTGATCATCAGTGCCAATCTGCTCTATGACAGCTGCCGGTTATCAGCACTACTTTCCTCATGCTGTGACAACGTGTGGAAAGTGCTACGGCAACTGTATTTACTCAGTGATCTGCTGTGTCAGACACAGCTGATCATGTGGTAAGACTGCTGTGATTGGCCTGTTACCTTATCACGTGATCAGTGGTGTCCGTAGGACACGGCGATTGCCAGTAGGATGTCATATGACCCCCTCCCAGAACTGGGCAACCATGCTGGAGCTGTCATTCAGCTATAGGGCAGTAAATATGTGGTTAAAATCCAGTAATATGCTGTCTCACCCTCCTCTCCATTTTTAGGCATTGCTGAATTTGTAGAGGCCAATCTGCTGCCAGCCTTATGAGGAATTGAATTCTATCCTCTTACAGCCAAGCACGTTGCAACTGTTTGATCTGCAACTGCCATGGGGCTGCACATGTGATGTTATGACACCAGCAATTTGATGGTTTGGTTGAGAACACAAGCAAATGTGACATCTAGCAATTGCAGGAATGAAACTGTTAAATTGATGGGTTTCGTTCCACTTTTATGATTTACTCCTGTTCAGGGGCTCTGGGCTTCAGCAAAATGGGCAGCCTCCAGCAAGAAGAAACAGGAACAATGCTGGAGGCAGTTTGCAGCACACACTAATTTGGGCAGCATAATGATTAAAGTGTTACTAAACCCACAACAGTAAATCAGTCTGTATATGCAGTAAAGCATGCTTGTTATACTCACTGTGGAACCCAAGGAGATAATCCTCTGTATTGTGTAAAAAGGTTGTTTGATCCTTTTTTTTTCTCTGTTCCTCCCTTTTGTCAAGCACTTATCTCCATACTGAACTGTAGGCATTTTGCACATGCTCAGTTTGGTGTATATTGCTAGATTTTTCTTTTCTTGGGAGAGTGCATGTGATCAGCACTGGCCAGAGGTCAGGGGATTTCCATCCTCCTAGATCAGAAAAAAAAATTCTTACAAGCTTTAGCTTGTGCTGGGCTGGACACTGATAAGTCACCAGACTGCTCTAACTGCTGATGAGAAAAGGTATTTATATTTACTAAAATAATTACACTTCTGTGTACTGTGGAAGATCAGATATAGTGGATGCAGAGTCCTGGGTTTACTAATACTTTAATGTAGAATGTATGTTCTGTGCTAAAGAACATTATTCATTATTTTTTTTTTTTTTTTTATATATCAAGTTGTTATATTGGTAAAGTCCCAAAGGGTTCCTTAACACTTTGATGCCGACGTCACACAAATATGCGGCCTCACAGAACTGAGCTTTTTCCGTGGAGCCACGATTTGCGACCTGGGAGTGCGCCGCACTGCACAATCCCAGCACAAAGACTGCGGTGTCACTGAGGACCCTGGGTCCTGTTCTAACGATCGGGACCTGGGACTCCCGATTCTGGGTCATATGATTACTGTGATAGCCAATCATAGGCTATCACAGCAAACAGTCATTGTGCAGCCCGGCCCCCTTGTGGGTTTTTTTTTTTTTTTTTCCTTCTCTCTCTGAATGGAGAAGAGAATACATTGTATCTCTCTAACTCCTGGCATAAAGAAAAAATGTTTGTAAAATAAATAAAAAATACCTAGATCAAGGTTTGATGTAGTTCAGTGCCAGGGTTATTGTTTGGGTCAAGGTCAGGATTTAAAAAAAAAAAAAATATTTGTGCCAATGTCAGTGTGTTCAAGGTAAACAAAATGTGCACTATTGTTTATGGTCTGTACTACGGGTACAAAACATATATGATATTGCTGCGATCGTCAAGAGCTGGAGAATTTATTTTGGGTTGTTCTTTGGTGGTAAGGTATGGTAGTAACAAAAAAACACACGTAAAAAAAAAAAAAAAAAAAAAAAATTTCTTTATTTAGCTGATTATGGGCCAGTTTTCCTTGGATAGCTCCTGATATTTTTAAATTTTATTAATTACCATTTACTACCAAATGAAAGCCCAATTTGTCCTGCAAAAAAACAAAATGTGGTTTAATCCACCTGGATGTACAAAAAGAAAAAAGTTTTAACATACTTTAAACTAAAAAAAAAAATAATTTTTGCTTTACCCATATCTTTATCTGGGAGTGCAGTACGTACATTCATAGAGCATACATTTTATGCAGGCTACCTTCAGATGATTGGACATAGGCAAAATCAAATCTGGGTAAGCAGATGGGTTATGCTTAAAAGCTCACAAAACCTGGTGGAATGAGCTCTAATAGGAGAAGAGTCCTCCCATTCCTTAACTGCTTCCCAACCACCCTATAGCAGAACTATGCAAAATCATGTATATACGTGATTTTGTACTTGCGGGTAGGGGGCGCACATGTGCTGCTATTGACAACTACAGCTGTCAATCACTAGGTCGCAGTTGGAGATTCCCCGGCGATCGCCGACGAACACTGAGGGGGGGAGAGGTCTGTATGTAAACAATACAGATCTCTCCATGTCAGCTCTAGCCCACTGCTTTGTATTGCTCTGCATAGCAAAGCAATGTGCTTACACAGTAAAAAACACAGTTAACCATTTGATCTCCCCAGATGTTAACCCCTTCCTGCCCAGTGATTAGTACAGTGTCTTTTTTTTTTTTTTATTAGCACTGATCTCTGTATTGGTGTCACTGAGGATGTCAGTGACAGTCAGTCCCGTCCCCGTCCCCCCACTGTTAATGCCTGCCGCAGTCCTGCTATAAGTCTCTGATCGCCGCCATTACTAGAATTAAAAAAAAAAACAATTGCAGTATATATACACTGCCATTTGTAGACCGTGCAATTGTCAGTTAAAAGTAACATAGCGCTGTATAGCAAAAAAAAATGGCCTGGTCAGGAACGGGGGGTAAATCTTCTGGAGGGCAAGTGGTTAATAGCATAATCCATACAATTAAGCTGTTTGAGGCACCTGGCAATGGTGAAATGAGGAAGAGTATGTCGCTTTAGGGCAAAAGGGAGGACAAGAAGGCACCTATTTGGTGATTAGAGGCCATGTTTGCCAAGTAGACTGACAACATCCAGGAAGTATAAGTAAATTTCTTTGGTATGTGTAGAGAAAGGACAATACCTCCATTGAAGTAGAAGGAAGAAACCACCTTGGGCAGAAAAGAAGGTCTTGGTCTCAAGACCACCATGTCACTGTGTAATACAAGAAGAGGCTCCTTATGCCTAGTACACACAATGAGAAAATCAGATGGGGAAAAAAAGCCTTTGGAGTGATCATTTGATAATCTGATCATTAGTACTCAGCTTTCAAGAGCTGATCATGACTGTTCATGCAAAAATATCTGAAGGGAAAAGCATGAAAATGTTCATATAACAGAACAAATGATTTTCATGTAATTTGTATGAAAAAAGTTATATTCTGTATTATAAGAATTTTAGTAACTTTAATAACCTATTCATTTTTGATATATGAGACTAGCATGCAAAAAAAAAAGTGGACGATAATTTGTCTGATATTCTCATGGGTACGAGGCTTAACAAGCAAGAGCTACTAGCTGAGAAACATGCCCAAAACAGATGTAATGGCCACAAGGAAGGCAACCTTACATGTGAGGGAAATCTCTATTCACCTCAAAAAGGGAGGGTCTTCTAGGGAAAACAAAAGCATTATGTTTCAGATCCAAAGTTGACACATGAATTGGGGGAAT